TGGCCTTGGACACTTCCAGGGATCCATGGGCAGCCACAGCTTCTCTGGGCAACCTGGGCCAGGGTCTCGCTCTTCTCTAAACCTTTTCTGGTCCTCTCCTCCCTCCCAGCAAAAGTCATTCTCCTTGTGCTTACACTGCAAGAAAACTCTCCAGAGCTTCAAAAGCAAAACATATTCAGCATTTAAACCTTCTCCAGCCAAGTAGGGAACACTGGACCTTCTCTCTTGCTCTGTGCATCAAAGGAAGAATTTATCTACAGGGTAAAAAATAAAGAAGAAAAATGTAAAACATAATGGCACCTTTGTTTCTTTGGGTTTTAGATTTTCTCATTCCTCTTCTCCCTGAAAGGAATTACTGTCACTAGAGGCTTATTCTTAAAAACACTTAAACACAGGCAAAGCATCACATCCCAACAACCAACATCTCCAACCCTCTCTCCACGTGTTCGGTTTTCCATCGCTGCATTCAGCAGAATCCACCTGCATGGAGCAAAACCCATGGAGCAAAACCCCTGAGCCCCATCTCACCCCATCACCATCCCCCAGAGGCTGGTTGGGCACTGCCCAGGCTCCCCAGGGCAGTGGGCACAGCCCCAAGGCTGCCAGAGCTCCAGGAGGGTTTGGATGATGCTCTGAGGGACAGGGTGGGATTGCTGGGGTGTCTGTGCAGGGCCAGGAGTTGGACTGGATGATCCTTGTGGGTCCTTCCCAACTCAGGATATTCTCCAAGAAAGATGGAGAGAGACTATTTACAAGGGCCTGGAGGGGCAGGGAATGGCTCCCCACTGCCAGAGGGCAGGGAGAGATGAGATGTTGGGATGAAATCCTTCCCTGTGAGGGTGGTCAGGCCCTGGCCCAGGTTGCCCAGAGAAGCTGTGGCTGCCCCTGGATCCCTGGAAGTGTCCAAGGCCAGGTTGGACGGGGCTTGAAGCAACCTAGGCTAGTGGGAGGTGTCCCTGCCCATGGCACAGGAGTTGGAATAAGATCTTTAAGGTCCCTTCCAACCCAGGCCATTCCACGATTCTATGATTTCTTTCGTGATTGAGAAGAATTTCACCCTCTGGATATCACCAGGAGACACCACATGCAGGTCCAGGGTGGTTTAAGCCCCATCTCACCATCTCCAGGCTGCAAATCTAAAACCAGGGGATGCTCAGAAGCCAAACTGGGCCAAGGTCAGACACAAAGGTCATCTCCAGAGAAAACAGCTCCCTGAAGACTCTTCAGCAGCTCTGCCCAACAACTGGCTTCTTCCTTACACTTTGCTCCTGCCTTCATTGATTTTATTCCTCTCAAAAACACTGCTGGAGTGAGAAAAACCCTCACGGGCCCCTCCTTGGTGACACTGAGTCCCACAGTAGGTTTGTGTGCTATGGAAACCTTGGATTAATGGTTCTTCCATTATGCAATTCACCCTCAAGATGGAAATAAATGGAATAACCAAAATAACCTTGGTTTAGTGTATACAAGCAGTGGGAAGAGCTCACATGTGATCTTTTCATGACACACCCCCAGTCCTGCCCATGGACATCTCAACTGCTGGAGGAAGTTCATGCAGGAGCTCATCCATCCTGCAGCCAGGGCTGGAGAGCAGAGGCAAAATCCAGGGGTAACTTGACTTTTTTTAGTTCCCTTCCTTTTTCAAAGCCAGATATTCACAACCCCCCAGCATATTTTCTTTGCACTGGTTGGTAACAAGATGCCAAGGAGGAAAATGGAGCAGGAAAATGCTCCTCCTGGTCAAGCTCTCCAGGATCACCCAGGGAAGGGAGAGGCCCCTTGCTGAGCTGACTTAAAATGACAGAGCCACAGAAAAAGAAAGAAAAGAGAGGTGGCTAAGCTGGGAACTGAGTCAGGGAGATGCAGCACCACTGCAAATGGAATTGCTGGTTCTGCAGAGTCACGAGGGTTACACGCAACCCCATCCAGCTCCAGAGCCAGTCACACGTGGAGAAACACAGATCCAGCTGCTCTCCACAGACTGCACCACTCCCTGCAGCCTGCAAGAACTGGATCTAGGCAGGAGACCTCTTTCAATCCTCCCCATGCAGCATCCAGGTAACTGGGATGGCAGGACTGCTCCACCTCCCCCTCCAGGGAAATGAGCTGTACTGCTCCAGGAGAAAATCCTGCCAGGAATAGAGCACACTCTGTACCATTTCTGGGAAGCAGGAACATTGCCCTGGCTGGCACACGGCCCTGCAGGTCACAGCTCTGAACCTGGGCAGCAGGACCAGCTGGGCCCGAGAAAACAACCAACCTCCTCAGAACCACAGGAGCACTGAGGGTGGAAAAGACCTCCAAGACCAACCTGTGCCCCATCCCCACCTTGTGCCCTGAGTCCAACCCCTGTGCCCTGAGTCCAACCCTGTGCCCCATCCCCACCTTGTCCCCCAGCCCAGAGCACTGAGTGCCACGGCCAGTCCTTCCTTGGACACCTCCAGGGATTGGGACTCCACCTCCTCCTGGGCAGTTCCAGTGCCTGACCATCGTTGCCATGAAGAAATTCCTCCTGATGTCCAACCTGAGCCTCCTCTTTGCAGAGGACAACAATAAATCCACCCCCATGACCGGGAAACCTCCTCCTGCAGCACCCAGGAGCCTGTTTATAAAGTCTGAACAGCTTTTCTATCCCCTCCATCCTCTCCAAAGTCAGTGCCAGCACCTTACACCAGCAGGTCCTTCTCCTGGTGCTGCTGCCTGTGTCCAAGGGCTCTGCACAGCCCTTCCAGCCTCCCTCCTGCCAGGAGCTGAGGGATCACCCTGTGTGCCATGTCACCACTGTATTCCAATGCTCCCAAATGTATCACCTACCACTGCCCTTGGACCAGCTCTGTCAGCAATTTAAGCTCCCACCAGTACATCTGGGGGAGAGAACCATAAATTGGGTGTTTATCATCCTGTCAGGCTTTCAGCCCTCCTCGTTTTCCCTTCCCTGGCCCAGCTTTAGCTGTAAATGAATATTTGGGCTTCTCATGAATGAGTTACTGCCAGAGGGAGAGCTGCTCCCTGAGGAGACTCACTTTAAATTGGCAACACTACTTAAAGCTGGATTTTTAGTTGAAGCTACAAATCTAATAAGTGAGGTCAAAACCCCACTGGTTACCCATCTCCAGGAACAGCATCCCTGCCAACATAATGTTATTACAGTACCATGAGAAGTCATTTTATATGGAAAAAAGCAGGCTCCAGGGTGCATCCATCCTTGGAGAAGTGTCTCTGCACCCCACACTGGGTTTGTGTCTCAGCACTTGTCCCAGACCGTGCAGGGCTCATTCCCAGCACAGCCTCCTGGGAAAAGCTGGACCTGGGTCCATGCTCAAGCTGCTTCCCACTCATCCCAGGACAGGGCTCCTGCAGGAGAGGCTGGAGAGCCACTGGTAAGGTGCTCCCAGGGCTCTGGGTGGGTCAGGGAGAGCTCCCTGACCTGGAGAGGGGAGCAGAGACCTGCAGGAACCCCCAGGGACCTCAGGCATTGCAGGTTCCCACCTCCTCTCACACAGCATCCCCTTCAGTGAGGAATGGTTGGACTCCATGGTCTTGGAGGGCTTTTCCAACATAAATGATTCTGTGATTCCCCTGGAGGTAGCTCCAGCATCCACCAGAGACACCCCCTGCCACGTGCTTCCCATCAGGGTCCCTGTGTGTCCCCGGGGACACCAGCTCAGGGTCCCCCCTCCCCTCCCCATCACCCAGCTGGGCCAGGTTTTCCTGTTGTCCATCTGTCTGTGATCAGGCAACACTGAGACCAGGGAGGGGACAGCCCCAGGGTCAGCTGTCACCTCCTGCCATCTCTGGTAATAAGACTAAAGAATCTGTACAGCCTCTTGAATATACAGTTATGGAATACATTCAATATTTGACTATTCTAGAGACTTGGTTTTTGATAAATCACTTCTTTTTGTATGGTTTCGTTCCAGGATGCCAAATGGAGGCAACAACTTATTTTCCTTTTATTCAGCCCCATGATGCCTCAGAGCAGGTTACACCCATGATGACAAACATTATATCAATGTGGACACAAATATTTAAATACTGATGGATAAATATTCCAGCAGTGGAAACCCTGGGCCCTTCTTGAGGGAAGGGACGAAATGTCCTCATCCCAGGGCAGCTGGGACCCTCAGCAGTCCCCCCTCTGCTGCCTCCCAGCAGAAGCAGCACTCCAGGCATGCATCCCACCTCACCAGCAGAGCCAGTGGGAAAAGCTACAACTTATTATGCAACAGAGATTTTCTTCAAATAAAAAGCTGAGCAGAATAAAAGTGGCATTATATCCTCTGGAAGCTGATCCTCACTCCCTGGAGTGACAATTTTAACTTAAAGACTCCTGAACTCCAGCAGAATTGTAAATTTGCCAGGTTGGATGCAGGGAAATACCCCGAAGGATTATCAGAGCCCATTCCAGAGCCCGGAGGAGCAGAAGTGCTGCAGGAGCACAAGCACCACAAGATGCCAGCACAGCCCAGCTGGATGAGCTGCTTCCAACCTGGCATGTGGGTGGGGGGCATTTGGGGGTTCCCACAGGCCATGAGCAGCCTGAGGGCTCTGCCTGAGGCTGGGGAAGGAGCTGGAATGAGGGAGAGGAGCAGCAGCTCTTCCCAACCAGCCCCACCAGAGGAGCCGACTCTCCTGCCCCGTGAAAGAGTGTCCAAGCAGAGTCTGGCTGATAAATCCCTCTCTCCTACAACGTCCTATAAAGGTTGGTTACAAAGTCAAGGATAGGAAGCAAATTCTGGCTGACACGGAGGTGGGTCAGTCAAAGGTTGGACTCAATGACCTCGGAGGTCTTTTCAAAGCAAAACGATTCAGTGAAACACCCTCAGCACCTCTGAGGCCAAGCCCTCTGCAGGGACATGGCTTATGCAAGAGCTGAGGAGCCTCAGGGCCAATCCTGCAAATCCACCGACTGTCCGAGCTCAGTCAGAATTCCATGGAAGGAACGTGCCAGGAGAGGGCAACCTGCTCCTGCTGCATGCTCGGATGGAAGCAGAGAGCAAACCACCATGTGACTGGAACTGCCTGGGAAGAAAGGCCCTGGGGTGCTGGTGACAGTGGCTGGACACGAGCCCGGGTGTGCCCAGGGGGGCAGGAGGCCAATGGCCCCTGG